GTCTCATTGGGGACAGGCCCCGCCTCCTCCCCCTGCAGCCTGACCCCTTCACCCTGCCCCAGGCTGTGTCCCGGGTCTTTCTGCCACTCCCCCTCCTCCTCCATGGCCTCCCTTCCTCATGCCCGCCCAGCCCCTGACTCAGACTTCATGGAGCTTGGGGGGCCCAGGCTGTAGCCTGGCATTCGCACCACCCGCCTGACCCGGCCCTGGCCAGCCGGCCAGCTCCCCACTGCCAGGGCAGCAGCTCCTTCCCGGCCAGGACTTCGCCGGGCGGTGCCTCCTGCCCCGAGGCCCGCCCCTCTGCCACCTGCTGTTCTCCCGTCCACGACCCTCGCCGCTCGGCCCTTTCTCTGTGCAGCCCCTGCCGCCTGTAACGGCCGAAGCTCTGCCGAGCGCTGGGTCCCCCGCAGCTGTCAGCTGTCACGGGCCCGGGGCGCAGCAGAGCCAGGCCCGGGAGGCAGGAGCAGAGGGAGCCCTCCACCCCCAGGGCCGGTTGAGCCCACGGAGGGATGGGGGCTAATGGAGAAGGGCCCCGCTCCAGCCCCTCACCCACAAGGGCAGGCAGCAGTCAGCAGCTTCCCGTCCAAGATCACCTGTGGGCTGCAGCGCCTGCAAGGGGCAAACCCGGCAGGGTCCCAAAGGGATCCGCGGCCCTGCCCCTGCCCCTGCCCCCTGCGCCTGCCCCCTGCACCCATCACTGTGGGATGGACTGAGGAGCCGAGTGGCGGGCAGGCATGGACACACGTACCCCAACTGGCCTGAGGCCCACCTGGGTGTGTGTGGGGGAGCTGGCATTCCCAAGGGGCTGGGTGGAGGCAGAGCCTCCTGGCAGGGATGAGGCCCCTGGGATCTCGTTTGGGGCAAGAGACAGGATTGGGGGCAGCTGTCTGGGAGGGGCCTGGACCCGGAACTCAGGCGGCAGACACTGCAGCCCTGCCCCCACCCTCTCCCTGACGGAGGGCAGCTTGGGCCTGGCCGGCGGAGCCACAGGCTGGGTGGCTGCAGTCACGTCGCTGGCGTGACGCCTCCAGCCTAGGTGGCTGGCTTGGCACCCTGGGTGGGGGAGAGGGGTTGACTCGGAGGTTTTCCTGGCTTCAGGCTGAGCCACCACCGTGGGGCTGCCCGGACGTGGTCAGGGCCTCCTCCAGGCCTCGCAGTCCCTACAGCCTCAGAGGCCCCCTCCCTGAGGCCCTCCCGTTCTGCAGCTGGTCTCTGGGCCTCAAGCACCTGCTGGGGGGCGGGGGCACGGGTGGGGCCGGGAGGATGGGCCTCCTGGGGCTGGGACAGCTCCAGGGCCCGGAATCTCTGCCTCCCCTCACCCAGCGGCTCCCAGGACGGGACAGCCACAGGCAGCGGGGGATCCCCTGGAGGCAACCTCACAGAGGGAGTCCCTCCTATTGGGGGACAGGGCACCTGGGATGCCCCAGCCTGCCACCTCCATGGCTGGGAGTTTCCCAACTGCCAGCGACAGGGAGGCGTTGAGGGGCCGCCCGCCAGCGCTGGGACAATGGAGCCTTGTGCCCCGGGAGTGGGAGCAGGGGCAGGAAGGCCACGGGCAGGTGGGGTACTGGGCTGCACCCAGGAGGCCCTGCTTGCCAGGCCCCCACCCAGGACCACTGCCAAGCGGGACAAGGGGATCTTGGCCAGACCCTGCGTGGCCCACCCAGGGGGAGGCGCTGGGTGCGCCAGGCAGACAATGCCAGCCCTCAATGGCCCCTCTGTGCACCGTGCCCCCAGGACGGAAGAAAGGAACCGACTC